ATGTTTATGATATGAATGTAATGGATGCGCATGTAAGCTGAGTAGCTGTCTTGCTGAGGAAGATGAATCCTGGATAGTGAAATATTTGACTGTTGCCGGGGGAAGTAAATCCTTGACTGCTGCAGAGTATTGAAAATCCTTTGATCGTTAAAAAATGAGAAGTCCTGGGACCACTGTTGGGGAATCAGAAGTTTGGGTTGTATGCCAATCTGCTGGGGATCCCTATTTTGAGGAGATCTTCACTGGGGAATATCTGAATACTCTGTGAGGAGCTGAGAATGAGAGTCTTCATTCTGCTTGGGGAATAAGAATTCTGTGGGGAATAGCCAAACTGTTGAAAGGTAGCTATCCTATCGGAGAGTAAAACTCAGGATTCTAAAAAGGCTTATTCCTGTCTGGAAGAAGTTCAGGTTTAGGTCGTATGCCACTTTAAGAATGAGAATCTTCACTCTGTTGGGGATACCAGGAATTCAGATGTTATACCACTTTGAGAAATGAGAATCTTCATTCTGTCGGGAATATCAGGAGGTTGGGTGTATTCCAATCTACTGGGGAAGCCAAAATGAGAATCTTCATTCAGGCCTTGGGTCATAAGATTGGGTGTATGCCAATCTCTTGGGGTTTTAAGGATGAGAATCTTCATTCTTTTAGGGGTCAGGAAATTGGGAGTATACCAATCTTCTGAGGTTTAAAGGATGAGAATCTTCATTCTGCTAAGGGTCAGGAGGTTGGGAGTATACCCATCTCTTGAGGTTTCAAGGATGAGAATCTTCATTCTGTTAAGGGTCAGGAGGTTGGGAGTATACCAATCTTCTGAGGTTTCAAGGATGAGAATCTTCATTCTGTTAAGGGTCAGGAGGTTGGGAGTATACCAATCTTCTGAGGTTTCAAGGATGAGAGTCTTTATTCTGTTAGAAACAGATTTTTAGGAGCTTCAGTTGTCCGTTATTCTGTTGGTGGCTGTAACTTCCAACAAGTGATGAAGGAAATTTTTAACGACCGTGAATTCCAACAGGGGATGAAGGAATTTTTGACGACCGATCAATTTGAAATGTAATTTTGTTTTGGAGAATAAATCCTTGACAAATGTTAGGGAAATAAACCCATGACTGCTGGTCTGTTTAGAGAGATGATAAACTTCTCGAGGACGCTTGAATTTCTTTTCAGAAAGATTTCAAAGAGGTTTCATCACTGCCCCTAGTATTAGATGCTTGTGGCATTGTCAGGAAACTTGGACTGTTCGTAACCCTTTAACGAGATTGACGTTTAAATGCCCCAAGTGATGGTGACGGAGATTTGCCCCAGGTTAACCTGTAATTGAGAGATTTCTTGAAATCTTGACTGGACTGCCCCAGGTTAACTTTGAAAGATTTGTTGAAATTCTGACTGGACTGCCCCAGGTTAACTGGACAATACCATATCAAATCCCCTCTTGTTGATAGGAGATTTTTGTAACGGGAGTGTCATCCCACTTGAAGTGATTTTATTCACCGAGAGAGTTTTTGTTCCTCCGAACATTCACTGTTGTGAATTCCTTTGCTGTCAAACAAATAAACATGTGCAAACAATGATATTCAAATAATGCAAAGTTTATGCTTGTCTCGAAGTTTTGAAAAAATGTGTTTTTTAGCAGAAAACTTTTTATAAGACAAATTCAACACAAGATTTAGGGCAAAGCCTTACAGGAGTCAGGATACTTTTTGTAACAGTATGCTTTGAAACTAACCCATGCTTCAATTAGGACTTTCGAAGGGTTGTAACGTGGCTTGGTTCACGGTTTAAGAAACAAAGGATAAAGGCTTAAAGTATATTTGTACCCACCCGCTCTTCGTGATGTTCTTCAATCCTAAACTCAGTTAATTGTGCGTCGAACTCTATTCGAGTTTGGAACGACGTTTTGGTGATGGTTCATACCAGTTGAATTTTATGGAAGGCAGTCATCATTTGCAACATTTTTCATGTTGTTGAGGATTTGTACTGACCTCTTTCTTTTGATTCGTTATCCCTAATTTTTGCCTGACTGTTTTAGTTTTCGAGATTACAGTCAGCGGGATGCCCCAGCTTTCTTAAGCCCCTTTTATAGGTTTTGGCTTAGTGGAATTTTCTCTTTTGAGAGGTAATGACTTCCTATGAGATAAAGAACCATCACTGTCTTTTGGTTCCAAAGGAAATGTTTTTGATGTCATTCGTTGTATTACGAGCTGAAAGTTTGCGACTTCAATGCGCATCTTTTGAATTAACTGAGAGACTACCCTGCCCCAGGTTTTAATTAAAGGTTTCAATTTGTGTTTAAAACAGAAAACTCCTACTTCTTTGGCTTGAAGGGGTTCACTAGGGATTATCTTCCTTATAACTCCAGTGTTTAGGATTTGAAAGAAACGCCTGTACATCGTCAGCAAGGTCTTGTTCAAAAGCATACTGTATGAGATTACGGTATTGTTTCGTCATCCTCCCTCTAAAGGATTGTAGATTTTTATCAAGAGTTAAATATCATAAAGAAAGTAAGAAACATAAGAATAGTGAAAACGAATGGATGAATTCAAGACAAACATATGCAATGCATTAATGAAACAGAGTTTGACATCAACAGATAAGTGTTTGAAAAGAAATTACAACTTGAAAATTCAAATGGAACAAAAGTCTCTCAGTTCGAGCTTTGTCATTTCAGGTGGAGAACCCTTAGCGGAAGATTTTCATCTCGCCATCCGGCATGAATTCCAGCACTCCTTCGTCAATCAAGTCTTGGATCTTATTTTTCAAAGCCCAACAGTCATCGGTGTCATGTCCAGGACTATGGGAGTGGTATACACAAAACGCATCGGGGTGATAGCTAGGAGTAGAGGTATTGGGCTTCCGAATAGGATCCCGTAAAGCAAGAAGATTGACCTCCAACAAGTGTTTAAGTATTAGAGATGATGGTATGTCAGTCTCAGAGAAATGTCTTCCAGACGTATTTTGCTTACGCCGATTACCCTGTTGACGCTGACGAGGTTATTGCTGGGCCTGTGACCCTGAAGCAAGTTGGGGAGCCTTTCCCTTGTTTTCTTGCCTCAAAGGAGGTTGAATGATGACTTGATCTTCAACCCTAGATGTTTTCCCCACTTGGCTGTCTCGAAGCAGCTTGTTGACGAGAACCCTGAGCTCTTCTTGTCTTTGAGCCAAGTCTTGGATGAGAGCCATCTGGCCCACCAGTTGTACCATCATCTGGATCTTCATTGTTGCCAGCTCAATCTGAAGTTCTTCCAATTGATCATTCCTGACACTGCCTGAATTCCCTAGGACCATATAAAATGAAAAGAAATAGGCAAAATAAACCAAAAATTGTAAAAAATAGTAAATTCAAAAATAGAAATAAAATGAGGTCACCAATATTTGCCAAGAGGTCATTGGATCCTTCCATATTTTTTTTTAGAATTTAAAAATTAAGAAAAGTATTTTTAAACATTTAAAACAATTAAAATAAAATGAAAAATTATAAAAAATATCAAAACATAAAATAAAATTGTTAAAACTCTTATCTTTATTTGACAGGTGTGTATATCATATACTTTACTATAAAATACTAAAAATCTGCACTCATCCCTACATTATACCCTAACTCAATACCTCTCATTTTTTTATAACAAATCTTATCTCTCTTCCATTAAGAACATAATACTCCCTAATAGCATCCTTTAATTCACTTAATAAATTAAATTTCATACCTAGCTTATGTAATAACCGGTTTAAAATATAGAGTCGTCATCATTAATTTTTAATCTACGGAAGAGAATATAACGGTTAATCCTAATTTAATCAGAGATTCTAAGTTATTTACCCGTTTTAGACGAAGGGAATGTGTTAGGCACCTCTCATATACCTTGTTCACAAGGATACTAGGGTTTAGATGTACGGTTTACGAATAGGGTTTTAGTTTTAATTAGGGGAACTTGCCACAATTTTTAAGTCGTATGCCTACGTATTCTCTTATGAGAAATCAATGTCTCAATCCGTAGTTCGTAGTTGTTGGTTGGTGTTTTTTATGGATTATGCAAATATCTCGGATTCTCCTTAAACCAAGTCTAGGTGTATGAATAGCGAAATTTACAGATGAAGTTTAGATATTTCCATAATTCTTTTTTAAAAATAATATATGTTTATTAAATTAGTAAAAAAAAAGATTAGTATTTGATTGATTAGATATTTTCAAATATATTATGTTATACGTGAAAAAATATTTTTTATGCATGAGAAAAAAAGAATTTAATGCAATTAGAATATTAAAAAAAGATTTTATATCTGATTATTTACGTAATTTTTTCAAAAATATAATTATAAAAATATTTTAATTACAAAACTTGATTATTGCTGAGAAAAATTATAGAAAGGGAGCCTAAATCCCATTTATATTTTTAAAATGAAAAGATAGAAAGTTTTTTTTTAATGAAAACACAAGCTTAAAAATTCAAACTTATTTGATGTGAACAAAATTTAATTAAAATTTAGTACATATTTAATAAATATTCTAATAATTAAAAGCATATTTGATTAAATAGAAGTATTTCATTTATTTTACAAACTAGTGTAATTAAGTCACATTCAAAGTGTTTGAAGTTAGTATTACATCTAGAGCACAAAATGGTAGATTAATTGTGTATGATTTTTCTAATGGAAATTATTTTATTTATAATTCTCCCAATTAGACTAATTAGTTTGTTTTGAAATGTAATACTACATTAATTGTTTGTGTTGTTTTAATATGTGTTTTCTAGACATACATATTAAGCATTTAAAAATTATCAAATATATTTTTTATCTTAGCATTGAATCTGATACTCTCCGGATTAATGCTATATTTTTAAATAGTGAAAAATGAATTAAAATAAATTGCATATTTAATAATTTTCTAATAAATAAAAGAATATTTATCCATCACGACCGAAACGCAGTATTACCGTTATTTGTTTTGTTCTTGCTCTTCCCTCCAATTCCAATGAGGGTTTCAACCAAAACTAAGCAACATGTCAAATCAGCAACAACACCGCCGTGAAGCCTCCGAGCAACCACACCGCCGTGAAGCCTCCGAACTACAACACCGCCGTGAAGCAGCATTACCCATCACTATCTCTTTGCATGATCAGGTATCTTTTCCCTTTGCCCTCTTATTCCTTTCTATCATTATCGAAATACTAACAACACAAACTCAATCTTCAAGATGAAATTTCAGGATAAAGACCAATTCGAGTCACCCCTAACCGTTACTCAGTGGCTTCGATCAGTTCGCAAACGCACTTCCAATTCCAATTCCGGTTTCCCTCGCACTTCTTCCACCATACCCTTTTGGTATCTTACTATTTCTAAACTATCTTCTTATATCATATGCTCATCATACTTTACATTGACTGTTTAACGCACATCCAGAGTAGTAGATTCTGAATTTGAATTTTCAGTGTTTGATAACTGATTTAAACTGTCTCTAGTTTTAGAGAGGATGCAGAAATTGACATGCTTCCGGATCATACTGAAATTAGTGTGTGGGATAGGCTTGGTAAAGCTGAAATGTTGGACATTGACTCCCATTCCTTTTCTTGGGACACGCTCTCTTCACTTCATCACACTGAACACACTAATAGCAATCAACATTCTGATGACGAAGTCAATAGAGTTCTTGAGGTTCTATATTTTCCTATGCTCATAATATTGTTTACAAGCACACATAGTTACTATGCAGATGAACAATATGTCTATTTTTATTTGGAGTTTCTAATCTTTATAAACTTCTTTTGTTTCATTTAATTTTGCCTAAGGCTTCCATGTGCTAGCAGCCCTGGTTTAGGGGTTAAGTATATTTCCAATGTAGAAGATATGTTCATTTTCATGTTTTGTTGTTATAATAATTGTGGGCTTCTGCCTTATTTCTTCTCATTTGTGTTCACGTAGATCACAGTAAATTCTGGAGGGGTTGTCTTCTTTGCCCTTTTCAATGTCGATGGGAGCGATGATGCTTCTCCAAAAGAAGCAGCAGCTGTCATAAAGATATCTTCGTCAAGAATGGCAACACAGTCAGAAAGACTAGGATACGAATTCGCCAAATGGTTGGGAGTCCAAGCTCCACAGGTTGTTCCCTTCTTACTTGACTCAACCCTGACATTTGCAAGTTAACTTGTAGTTAGTCATTTTAATTTTTTACTTTTGTTTGTAAATTACAGGCTAGAGTCATTCACAATACCAGTTTAGAATGGCTCCAAATAAAGAAAGCTGCAGAAAAAGCAAGGGATGCAGCAAGTTGTGAGAGTAATGTAATTGGTGAAACAACATGTTCTGAACTTTTGGAAGCACTCGAGCTTAGCCGGTGTCTCTTGTTTATGAGGTATACAATTCAAATCTAATTTTTATATTATATGGTTTCAAACATGGTTCAAATGGCAACAAATGTTATATTTGGTAGTTTGGTTACTTTGTCATTTTTTGAGGATTTTCTTTTATTATTTGAATTGATTATGCCCCATGTAGATGCATGATCTTACAATTTTGAATCTGGTATGAGAAAATATCATCATAAATTGGAGGTTCTACAATGATTCAAGAAAGCAATTTTCATTCAAAATAACAGTCACAATATTTTGGCTATAAACAAAAGATAATTTTTGTTTTTCGCTCTCTTCTACATGTATAATTTGAAAACTAGGATGTTTTTTGTTTTGTCATTGCTTGTTTGTGAGTAACTAAATCAAATTTAATATTTCTACTTCTTAGAAAAATGGTGAAATGAAAGTTGTTAATATATTTTGCTGTGAGTTATTATTTTTCATGTTAGCTTTTGATGTTTATTCTAATGATTCATAGTCTTCTTGTAGTTATGTACATGGCTCGCCTTTACTTGAAAGCTCTAGTGCATTTGAATCAAGGGATTCTGCAGAAAGAACGTCTGCAGCGCTTGGTAGGGTAATGATGCTAGATCTTGTTATTAGAAATGAAGATAGGCTTCCATGCCGTCAACTTAGATGGCGTGGGAACCCAGCAAATTTGTTATTAGCTGAAAAATCAATCCCTTCAAATTTAGATACAATAGGAGAAACCTTTGAGTTGGCAATGAGCCGATATGGGCTCGGGGTGGTTGGTAAAAGAAGATCTACTTCAAGATTGTGTTCTCGTGATAATAGAATAAGATCACAAGGCTCTCATCTTTCACGGATAAGAGAATCATCCAATTACATGTGCCTTAAAAGTCAAACGTCAGGAGAATCAATGTTTAATGGCTTCAACATTGTGGCTATTGACTCTGGTGTTCCACGTCGACCTCCTGCTGTAAAACGTGCTGATGATCAGGTCAGCTATCCTAAGTTGGTTGAATTGGTACTAAATAGTTCTCAGTTTTCCTCTTGCCTGTTATATAATATAACCGGCGGGAAATTAGGAAGTCCTCCCTTAGAGGATATAACTTTAACGGTCGACATACAAGGGAGTGTTGTAACATCAGTAGTACACCAGTTCCGCAGTGGTTTTCGTGCTGCTCTTAGGGACCTGCAAGGATTTCATATATTCTTACTTACACTTCACCAAAAACTTGATAACTTATTACGATCATTTAATAATACTATAAGCAAAGTATCATTGGGGGAGTCTGAAAATGGAGATTCACCTTCATCAGCTACCAGTAAGTGCCACTCTTCAACAAGTAAGGGGAGATTTTCTAATGATAGCCATGGAGATTTTAGTGATTCAGATTCACAAAACTCTGCTCCAAGGGCATTGTCATCCTCAGGCAATAGAAATCTTTGTGACTCTATTTCTCCTATGTCAAGAGAAGGTTCCCATGGAAAATCCTCCAAAGGGAGTGTGGGGCCATTGCGTGATTCCTGTTTTACAGCTAAGCTCCGTGAGTTCCATAAATTTGCCAAGGTTGGTCTCTAGGTAGCAGTGGTTGTATACTAGTTCAATGCCTTGTTTTTGCTGCACATTGCTTTAGTACCTTGTTTGTATTTTTTATTCATATGCTTATTGTGGAAAATAAATTGATTTATGACAAGTCTATGTCAACCAATTTAACTATTGTGGACAATAGATTGAATGTGCTTTTTGTTAGAGAAACACATTACTTTTACCTTATGCTTCTGTTGTTTTCCTAATCTTTGATTGATGAGGTGTCTTTACCATGTTACATAGCATTTATTTTACTATGCATTCTAAAATTTTTTTCTCTTGCCTTATACTCTACCATACTTTCTAGGTTGATGCAGAATTTTATAAAGAATTAGAACATTGGAATGAAATGCTCAAAAATGATGCTATCAAGTTGTGCCAGGAGAACAATTTCAATTCAGGATTTTTTGAAGGAAGTGATAGCAATACTATTGTTGATGCATATGAATTGAAGGTATCTTAGTTTAAACTATTAAGAAGTATTATTTAAGTCAACACATTCATAGAGGGAGCATATTTATATTAATTATTTACTCCAATAACTTTCAGATTAGACTTGAGCATATTCTTGAAAGGATTGCATTGATATCTGAGGCTGCAAATACAGAGAGACCATCTGCTATTACAAATTATTTGTTCATCAGTGGAGTACTATCTGCAAGATCTATATACACAATGCAACACTTAGGAATCACTCATATTCTGTGTTTGTGTACTAACGAAATTGGACAATCAGATTCTCAATTTCCTAATCTATTCACTTACAAAAATTTCTTTGTAAGTCTCATCATATTTCTATTCTCAATTTCCTAATCTACTGATGTATTTGCAAAGGTTTTTGCATGAGAATTGGTTGACTTCCTTGAAGTCTTTATATTATTTATTCATTCTCTTTCATATGGAATTAATTTAGTTTTGTATTGTATTTGGACTTTTTAAGGCTGGACACATACTTTTATCTGGTTAGGGTCCATATGTTTTACTTTTTCATGTAAAAGTGACTTTCAAACAAAGAAAAAGGTGATTTTCAGATTAGTAGCTAAAAAGAAACATATATCACTTCTCTTAAAAGCTTAAACAAACATGCTCTTATGCTTTTTATTGTGTATATCTATAAATACATTTATTGTGTATATCCATATGTTTTAGTTTTGTATTGTATTTGGACTTTTTATTTGTTTCACAAATAATCAAACTTTTGATAAATGGATCACATAAAGACTATCATACCTTCTCTACAGATAATGATCCCAAATACTTGTGATGTTAGGTGCAATGGCTGATATAGTATTTACTTGTTAAGGCTGGACACATACTTTTATCTGGTTAGGGTCCATATGTTTTACTTTTTCATGTAAAAGTGACTTTCAAACAAAGAAAAAGGTGATTTTCAGATTAGTAGCTAAAAAGAAACATATATCACTTCTCTTAAAAGCTTAAACAAACATGCTCTTATGCTTTTTATTGTGTATATCTATAAATACATTTTCTGTTTATCAAGATATCAACTGTCCTCTCAAATTCTGCTAAGGAATAAATCTTCATATTTCTTTTCCCACTCTTCTGTTTGAACAGGTACTTGACACCGAGAGTTCTAACATCAGCATCTTATTTGACGAAGCTTGTGATTTTATAGAAGATGTTGAGAGAGCGGGTCAGAGAATTCTAGTTCATTGCTTCGAAGGGAAAAGCAGAAGTGTCACCGTAGTCCTTGCTTATTTGATGCTAAGAAAGTAAGTAAACTGTAAACCTATGAATATATTGCCTAAAGTTGAAACTAATGTTTTGTGGAGCCAGACCTCCATAACTAAATAAATTGCAACTTGCAATTATAATGTTTGTGATGCAGGAATTACACACTATTAGAAGCATGGAATGTTATGAAAAAAGTTCACCGTCGAGCACAGCCGAATGACGGTTTTGGAAAGATCTTACAAGAACTTGATCTAAAACTGCATGGGAAGGTTTCAATGGAGTGGCGGCAGCGTCGGAGACCAACAATGAAAGTTTGTCCAATATGTGGCAAGAATGCTGGACTGAGTAGCAGCTCACTTAAGCTCCATCTTCAGAAATCACATAAAAGACTATCATCAGGGAGTGTAGATAGTGCCATGACAATGGAAATCCAAAAGACATTGACCACTTTGAATATCAGCAGTGGTGGGAATTCGAGTCCCACACACAGGCAATCTCATTCGATGACACATTAATATAGTTCCCTTCTCTTGCAAATTCTGAAGCACGAGTGATTATAAAATGATGATACTTTATTTTATTCTTATTATTATTGATCAAATCTACCCTTTACATTGGTTGTGACCTAAGTTTGGTTCTAAATTATACATTTTATAGTCCAGTCAAAACTGCATGCAATGGTTGTGCTGTAGCCAGCATCTCAGAAATTTTAAAACAGATTTTAAATTTTATTTAATATTAAATTTTAGAGTTAAAATTTGAACGATTAGATTTTGATCAAACAACCTCGAGCTTGCTAACTATATGCAGTCAACTGACTTGTGCTGCACACAAGTAGGATTAGTAAATTTCAAGCTAAACAAGTGTTAGGTTGTCAAGCCATAATGAAACAAAACTTTATTCATTTTGGAACTGCCTTACCTTGGAATTGAATTTTACCCCATTGGACTACTGGACATCTTTATAAAGTTCAGCAATTTCTTTTTCCACTCTCGTGTCTTTTCACAAATTTTTGGTGGAAATCCAAAAATATCTCTATAATTCGGAGATACATCTCTAGATTTTTGGATATATATATATATATATATATATATATATATATATATATATATATATATATATATATATATATATATATATATATATATATATATATATATATATATATATATATATATATATATATATATATATATATATATATATATATATATATATATATATATATATATATATATATATCTTTGATGTTTCAAATGAAAAACAAAAAACACGGATAGAAAGTATGGATAAATTGAAAATTCATAACTTGACATTAAATTAAAACACTCAATATTATTATTCTGGACTGGGCCTGCGTTTGGCCCAATCCAACCATGCTGCAGGCGAAGGCCAGCAAGAATGAGACTGCCCTTGACTATGTTGAGTAGCGACTCCACCCTTGCACCGAGGGCAATGCCCCCTGGGCCTTCCTCGTCATAGAGCTGTCAAGGAGCGTTAATGACTCCCAGGAGGTCTTGACGGGCACCCTCCTCGTAGGGCAGACGCCCACGTCTCCGAATATCCCAGAGTCATCTTGATCCCGGAAATATCGCAACCACGTCCTCCTAATGATTCTGAGCAGTCCACTCAAGAGGGAGACCACATGCTGGTCTCCACTACTCACGTAGTTCCTGACACTCTTCATTTTGGGTCTGCTCTGTCAGTCTAATATGGGGACCTTGGCCCAACGTTGGGGGCTATAAATACCCTCTCACTTGAGAGGGTCAGGTATTCATTCATTCATCCAAACTTTCACATTCTACTTGCACTTATTCTGAATCTTACTTTGGCATCGGAGTGTCTTGCAGGTACCCCTCCACTTCACATTCAATCGCTGCCCGGCTTGAAGCTTATGGGCCTTGACGATATCTTCTGATCAGGTACTATCAGTGACGCCGATTGTAGGAACAAGGCTTCCCCGTCTTTCATTCACGTAAGACCAAAGCAACACCTTTAATCTTCAAGTTGTCATGACCGACCAAACTTTCAACAACGACCAAAATGTTCACTTTGTTGACGCGGACAACAACAACAATGTTGCCGCCCCCGAGCAAGACCCCCGGGACGGGATGACCGCATCTTCCTCCACCCACTCGCAACCACGTGACGGCACCCACCATCCTCGGAAGAATTACAAGCCCGCCACGTATTAGGAGATCCTTGTTCTCGAAAATATTGACGCCACAACCAGAGCCTTGTTCGCGGCGATCAACTAGAGGGATTACATGATCTTCGCGCAGGGTGAGCGCCTAATGATGCTGGAACAAACTCGTCGGTCCCCCAGAAGGCACCGAAGACCTGATTCTCAAAATCCTCCTCCCTGGAACGAGGACCGCTCCTGATCTCCCCCTACGGAGACACAAACGAGACGACTCTCGAAGCCCTTCTCTCCTCCGAACAGGGAAAGCTCCTGCATTGCAGAGAACCCAGCCTGAAGCTCTCAAGAAACATTGTCACCCCCCCCCCCCCCCCCCCCCCCCCCCCGCAAAGAGCGATGATCCCCTGAACATAAAAGAAACAGTGGCGAGGAAGAGAAGAAGTCCTGACCGATGAACCCTCCCCGGGACCAAAATTGACACAAAGAACGCCGCTACTATCGGTCCCTATCCCGCTCTTCAAAAAGAAGCGACGAAGACGACCCTGCAGTCAGTTGTCTCAGGCTATCATGGAGGCACATATTCCTATAGGGATGAAGAAACCTCTCATTCCGAAGGAATACAACGACATTGTTGATCCTGTCGACCACATCGACGACTTCGAAGTCATGTTTCACTATCACAATGTCGGGGGACCTATTAAGTGCAGGTTGTTCCCCATGATGCTGAGGAAAATGGTCATGGACTAGTATAAGAACCTATCCCTGGGTCGATCACCTCATGGAGGAATTTGAAGAACCAATTCATCAGGAGCTTCACTGCATCTCGTCGGCACCCGAAGACTGAGGCTGTCCTCGAGGCAATCGTCCAGAGGAGCAATGAGAGCCTCAGAGAATAGATTGATCGGTTCAACTGCGAGGCCATTCAAGTCCCCTATACCCATCACATAAAGAGATACTTGCTCAAGAGGGGACTCTTCCTAGGAATTGAATTTAGAAAGGCTGTTGGCAATGAGCCCCCAGGTCTTTTGATGCACTCCTCAAAAAATATCGGGCATACATGGACTACGAGGAAAAAGAGGCCTCCAACAACGCTTATGATTAGAGAAATTCAGACCAACTAATATCCCACGACACAGTGACGCGGGCCCTTCTCGACGAACAGGGGAAAAAGAATAGAGGAGAAACCTCACGACCCCTGCGAGCACAGAGGACCAGCCGAGTGGTTCACCAAGTACACCTCGCTGACCGCTTCCCGTGAGCGTATCCTTGCAGAGTGCTCCAATGTTGAGTTCAAGGACAGCGGGGTCAGGCGTCCTCGACCCGCTCTGCAAAGCCCGAGGGCGACAGAACAAAATAATGTCAATACCACCGGAGCTACGTCACTTGACCGAATACTGCGTCAACCTTATATTTACTTTTATTTTTTTAAAGTGGAACGATGCCCCTTGATGGGATACCCGCGAGGTTAAAGAAATTGATGAGGATACCCGACCATCCGATAAATTAGATCCCCTCCAGGTAGCCTTCTCTATCTCAAGGCCCGAGGACTTCCACATCCTCGACAGTCTTGAAGATGATAAGCCTTTGTTCACCCACAATAGATGGGAGAAGTTCCCCTCCGCCATGGTCATATCTGGCGGAGCATTCACTGACATTTTGGTGAGTTCAGCAAAGAGAAAATTCAACTAGCTGGTGGATGCAACCCTGATCCAGGCGGTAACTTTTGAAAGATTCAAGGGAAAATCTGAGCCGATCACCTTCTATCTTGAGGAGCTGCTCGGAGGAGCTGTTAACTCCAGCATTCCTCTGCTGGTGAGGCCCAAGATAGTCAACTTTGATGTACATCGCATCCTGATCGACGAAGGGAGTTTTGTCGATGTCATGTACACCCACCTATTGTGTGTAACACCCCATTTCTACCCAACGAGTTAAATAAAATCAGAGTTATAAAAATTTCCAACAAACAAATGGAATGCTACACTTTCAACTTAAAACTACGACATTCAATCATCTATAGTTCAGATACATAACACATGAAATTCGGATGAACCGATAACAACCTGCTCAGTCTTTAAAAATAAAAACAACTTTTATTACCACGCAGCGGATTCACAAAATTCAACTGAAAACACCATAACATCTTATCCAACTAAAAACAACTTTAAGACAACAAGTATTTAATGAAAACAACTTAAAAATTCGGTAACATAATGGAAATCAACAATAAAGAAAACATGCGTTCATCCTCCCGAGTGCTACGTATCAGAGCGACAACACCGACTCGAACTAACGAGGGTAACAACTAACCTTCTTGATTACTTACACGTTACCAACAGAGGGCAACATTCAAACAGAAAGGGTGAGATATCGAACCATATAATCGGATATACAATAAATAATATATTAGTATTAGATCATACAATTCACCACTTCACATCTTTTTATCAACATATAACATAATTAATTCATCCACACGACAACTCAGAATACAACATGAAATGCAACTCGTTTTTATGCACATGCATGTGGTACCAATGGAGCAGAACTCCCAACTTAGAAATCTGCCAATAAATAGAGGCATCAACAAGGCATAAGCCTTCAACTTTATATTTTCCAATATAGGCCAACTTGACGAGCATCAACTCCAACATGATATGCTATGTATGCATTAACGACATGAACGTAATAACAATAACAACAACAACAACAATAATTCAACTTAGTTCAACATTGGCCATAAGCCTGCAACTTAATATTTTGCCCATAAATAGAGGCAATGAAATCACCTGCTAATTCACATTTTTAAACAAAAATACCATCCAACAGATCAACCAAAAGTTACTACAATAAACCGCATAATTATTCGGACTATTTTGGCTAAAATCGGTTAATTAATTATCGGAAAAAAATTCTATTATTTCTACTTTATAAATCCTACAAAATTATTTATTAAAGATATTAAATCCTTATTATTAAATATTTTGTATTGTAAACCGGAACATAGTAGCTACAGTATATCTATTATTTATTCTATACCAAATTATTATTTGTATCAGAGTACAGTGGCCACAACATTTATGCTAACAATTGTCTATAAGTGTTACTCTATAATTATCTCTACAGTATTGTTGTACCCCAAAATTTGCCCTCTCATATTTCTCAAGACATTGCAAGAATAATCTCCAAGTGGTTCAAGATTGCTCAAGAGTTGGACAGTCAAGCTACCTCATAAGGCAGTCAACCTCAAATTAGGGTTTTGTGTTGCATCAAGGTCCTTGCATCCAAATGATCTCAAGTGCTCCCCAATGTCCTAATATGTTCTCATGTTCATCCATGTCAAATTTCAAGCCTTGCAGAGGAAGTTTAGTCAGTCAA